TTGCCTATGTGTTGATTGTTCAGATAATGAATTGCTTGTGTTTGTTTTCTTGTTACGAACAGTTATTGAGAACAAATTTCTAAGCAAGTAAGTTATTAAATCTCTTAACTGAGTGGATAAGCAATAAATAGTTATTGAGAACCATATGCGAGTATCTCCGATTCCTCAACTTCCCCAACCTTATTTCAATCTCGTTTGGATTTGATAGTTCGTTTGTTTTCATTTATTTATTTGAGAATTCGTAGTTGATAATTAAAAAACCAACGATTTGAGTTAGAGTGTTAGATTTTGTCCCTTTCTTTTTGTGTGTTTGAATAGTCGTGCAGTTTAATCCGGCTAACCTTCCTTGAGTACGACCCGGTGTTGAATCTTTCGATTCTACTCCGGTTAAAAATATTTACAACATTAAGCTTGTAGGATCGTTTGCTTTTTCCTCTTCTAGGCGCTGTCAGCCGTAAGATCTCATCTGTCTTTTTGCGATTGACCTCTTCTTCTCCTTCATTCATTTTGGTAGGGTCAAAGAATACACATCATGCTGATTTTGTTGATCGAAAGACCATCCCATGGAAATATCTCTGACTACAGGAGCTGACTTAACAACAATTGCTTGGTCGACCATACAAACAAAACAAAGCGAAGCAAAGTCAAAGAGCTCCTTCAAGAGGTTTGATATTTTAAAGAGCTGAGAGCACCTATTTAGGGCGAGAAAGGGAATCGGCCGGACTTTGAATCAGCCCAAACCGACTTACTAATGGGATGCCCTAATACTTTACAAACTTTCGCTTTAGCCAATGACATAATCAGAGGAATAATTGGAACAAGAGTATCAACCTTCGGAAATAACATTTTGAATTAGAAATGAATTGTCTAGAATTTGATTTATTTCTCATCTTTTATGGTTGAACTTGCTTACATACGGTATGAGATGGTTTAGTTTGGTTCTCGGTACATATATTTGTGAAATCTCCAGAATCGTATCGATTATGTTTTTGATTCTATTTGGATCGATTAGGAGAAAGTCAAATGGTCAACTGTTATTTTTCGGTTCAGAGTTATTTTGGCTCGATTTCAGAATGCTTCGGAATTCTCAGAGTCACATGCTCAGTCACAGTTACAGTACGTTTGAGATATAAGTTTTCTGACTTGAGCGTTGGTGTGTCTATACCGGGACTCTGCCCCCAGTGCTTTTGCAGGTTGATCCAGTTTGCAGTACGTGACAATCGAGACGAGACAATTCAACCAGCAATATGGTAGGCCGATATTTCGAGCACATCAATCCCGATATTTCTGTCACATCAACATCTTACAGTAATGTTTGTGGTACAGACCGAACGAATGGTAGTAAGAAAAAGGAAGGGAACCGGATGCCTCCGGGATCGGGCCGCTGCTGAACGGATGGGAGAGAATAAGCGAGATCTGTTTCATCATTACAAGAGGCAGTCGTACTGCGCGCATTAAATGCGGAGATACATAAAAATCTCTTATCCGACGGCAAAGGAAAAATAGGGACGCGTGGCACGATCCGGACGACCCTCAGATATTGGGAAAAGATTATCAAGTACAATTAGCATTAAATGCTGAATGACTAATATCTAAAAATATCCTGTAAAAGGAAATGTAAAAATCCCCAAGAGGGAAATGTAAAGTCCCTAAACTTCCTATAAAAGGGAGGGGAGGACATCATTTAATCCAATGAGTAAATGCTCTCATTAATTACTCTATAAGTCACGGATAGACTGAGCATTCGGACCAGTAAAATTATACCGAATCACGTACACAAATACTATTCGTGCAGACCGAACAGAGTACACATCTTAGTGTGCAGTTCGAACGCATTGTTGGTCATTTTTAGACATCAACAATTGGCGCTAGAGGAAGGGCTATTCCAGCATGTCAAAGACATCTTCATCATCATCAAGCCAAAGTCACCGGCGAGACTCACCGGAAGAAAGGGAAGACCGGCGAAACAACCCAACTACGAGGACGGACTATTCAGCCTTTTTCAAAGACCCAAATTGTCTTAAGGGAATATCAAACCTGATAACACAGATCCGGCCCCCTACGTCTCAAGCACCCAAAACCCCAGCCAAAAAAGACCTTACCAACACCCTCAAAGGCAAGGAAACGAATGTTCGCGAAGAAACCACCCAGTCACCCGGGAGCACGAAGAAAAAATCCACCACCCGGACATAAAATGAACAGACGGACGAAAGTCGCTCGGTCACGGACACTCGAACC